TATTAATTAACAACGACTCTTTCTTTTTTTTTCCCCTGCAATTTCTTCATTTGTTTATTTCTTGTGAAAAAAAGTTTTATCGATGAAATTCTTTATTCCAAAAATATTAATTCATTCAATATTGTTATATGATAAATTTCTTTTTTTTAATATAAAATATCAATCTTAATTATTAAGAAAAAAATTTGTTGCTTGAAATAAATTTAGAAAAAAAGAGAATTAATTGAATGTTAAATGCAAAAATGAAATGTACAACGTATTATTTTACAAATAATGAAATAATATGTTAAAATAAAGATAAATTGATGAAATATTTTTATATTTCATAGATATTCCATAAATATTCTAATGAATACTTATTGAGGTCATAGGATTATTATAATGACTAATTGCAAAAAAAAAAATGAACTGTTAAAGTTACTGTATCAAAATCATACAAAGTAAAAAAAAAAGTATGATCAGAACAGCATGCTGAAATAGGTTTTTTAAATAAGGAGAAGCAAAGAATTAGTTATTTGATAAGATCATATGACTAATAATAATGAAGAGATGGTGAACACTGATCAGGAGATGATCATTGCTTGATTGATTTTCTCCACTGGAAATCTAATAGAAACAAATCATAAATGAATTTAATTTGACCCGATATTATTCATGGGATTATAAAATTGGCTTATAAAATTAAAAAAAAAAAATCATTCTGATTTATTAATTGATTAATTTAAATCTGTTTCATTATATGTACTTTTGGCTATTTTATTTATTTAATTATTTTTATGCTGACATTCAATATTTATATTTCATAATAGCTTATGTTAAATTTACATCTCCTTACAAACTGAATATCAATTGCTATCAACTAAGATTATCATAATTAAAAAATATGTATAGGAAATTAGACAAAAAAAAAGAAATTTAATTGCTTGAAATTGAAATAACTGTAAGTAAGCATATATATATATGATATAAATGTAACTTCATTTTTTATTTTTTTATTTTGAAATTATTTCATGTAACAAAATTTCTCATTAATTTATGTTAGATTTTGTTTATTTTTATTTCATTTTAAATTTGCCATAACGTTGAAGTGTTTTTTTTTCCTGCCACTTTCTTCTGAATTCAAACCATATAACGCATTTTATTGATTGATTTTCTTCCAAAAGAAACTCTCATCAATTATCCATCAAGAATATATCTCTAATTAAAATTACCGAGGATATTGAAATTGATCATTTCATATTGCAATATATTGTTACCTTTACTTTTACCTGAGGTAGTAAGCAGAAAGATTGTCATTGAAGGATGCATAATTCATTCCAACGATTGATGGAATTTACAAGAATTCTCGTCATTAAATTTTCGTCCTCTTTCTATTCAATGAAATATTTGAATGAAATGATTTAACTTATATTTGTTCGAGAAAAAATTTTTTATTTTTCAAAAATTTCCTATAAAATTTTGTCATTTTAATCGTTTTAACTTTAAATTTAGAGCACATTTCAATGGCTTATATAATCCTATTGGTTTTGTCCTTAAATTAGCACTGAAATAGCAATGAATATAAATTAAATTTGGAATAATGTTTGAATTAATTTCAATTCAATTCAATTCAATCCAATCTAATTTTAAAAAAAAAAACAGGACATTATGAATGAGTAATCGGTTCAAAATTACAATGGTCATTTTTATCTATTTATTTAAACAAATTATTTGTGCGGGAAGAATTGGAATGCCAGAGATGATCTTCTTCATCCATCCATTCGTCCATAATTCCACGAGTTCAAAGAGATCAAAGAGAAAGAAGATTTCCGGGCCAGAATAGATTTCAAACTTCAACGTATATTCATTAGCTTTATTTTAAATTTTAGAGCGTCAGCTGCGAAATGATATTTAATCAGGGTTGGTGCAAATTTTAGCTATTAGTTGTGCGGGTGGAGATAGAGGTCGGGGTGAAGGTCGTTAGTGCCAGTCTTGCTTTTACTAATGCTTCCGCCCACACATCTGTGCATTTTCATTCCACTTACACCTTCGCTTTTTTTCACATCGTTAAATTTTGTTCAATTTACTCATCGTTTTTTTTTTGACCCTATTGATAGTATAGATAATCGATCACCATCTCATTGCTTTTCTTATCACTTCATATTAAATAAATTCTCTCAGTATTAATTTTTAAAACTGTAACAAATTTGAATATGAGATCATTCACAAATCTATCGATAAATTTAATCAACAAAAATTCATCATATCTATTACGCAAATAGACATTACTTTATGCATAACTGTTAAATATATATCAATAAATTGATGTAATAAAAAAAAATTATTATAAAAGTATCATTCTATTCGAGTATTAATTTCTGTTTAGCTAAAGTGCTTTATTATATTTCTTTCAAATAAATATATGCATTTGAGATATTTTGAAATGTGTAGAATTACGAAAGTGTACAATTACATAAAGTTAGCTTTCATCATTATGATGTTTTCATTAGCATATATAATAAGCTAACAAATCTAATACAAAGTTAAATGAAATGTATGTATGGACCAATGATAATATTCAATATTTATTGAACATTATTACTGATTGCTACTGATTATGATACTTATCATCATTTTTTTATTGCTTATCATTATGCTTTATTTTTTTTGGTACTCATCGTTATTACAGTATTTTTCATCATTTTTTTCCTTAAACAGTCAATGAACTGATAGATTATTACTAACAATTGAAGGAAATTTATCAATTTTTTAACATAAAAATATTTTTTTTCTTCAGCTTCTACGGCTAGTTAGGAGAGATAAAATCAGCCAATTCTGTTGAGCAAAAAAAAAAAAGTTGGAATAAAAAAGAGGCAAAAGAGAAATTTGTCAGAAGTTAAACATAAATAATACTTTTTTTTTCAGAAATTCAATTTTTTTTCCAATGTTACTTTTTATGGGAACAAAAATTCAATCATTGCGAGGGTGTTCAAAAGAAATATCTCACATTTTTTTCTCTTTTTTTTTTGTTCAACTCTATCATACTTCATTCTCATCTCATCCATAGCATTTTCAGTTTCACTCGAGAGGGGAAAATGAAAGGCAATCATTCTTCTTTTCCTCATTCATTTAATCCAATTCAATTCAGTTCAATTCGGTTCACTCATGCCTTTTTTCCCCACCGCCATAAAATAAAATAAATTTCAATGCATCTAAAAGAAAAAAAAGAAGGAAAAATATACCCTTTACATTTTATAATTTTCGTGTCATCAAATGTTCGCACAAACTTTACCAAAAGCATTTTAGTCTTTACTTAAATTTCAGTTAAATATTTGACAAGAGTTTAGCCTAGGGAATGAAACAGCCACACGGATTATCTTACTTATTATTACCTTACTTGTAACCAAAATTTATTCTTTCACTCCCTCCATCTTCTTCATTTTTTTTTCTTTATGCAATTTTTTTTCGCTTTTTTTCGTAATTTTTTTTTTTTTTTTGAGAAAGAATTGAAAAAATTAAACCACGCGTTCATTTATCTATTTATTTTTTTTGTTTCAGTTCATTGCTTTTTTTCTTTTGGCTTATTTATTATTTGTCCGATATTTGAATGCATCGAAAAGCAGAAGGTGTTAATTGATGCTTTTTTGGAAAAATAGAGACAGGGAGGGAGAGAGAGGGAGAGGGAGAGGGAGGAAAGCAGAGGGAGAAAGAGGGAGAGAGAAAGATGGCTAGAATTTGTGTAAAATTACCGAAAATTTTTGTTTATCTTTCATTTTTTTGAAATAAAATGAGAGGAGAAAAGAAAATATGGTAAAATTAATTATCTAAATTTTTTATTTTTTATTGAAACTATTTAAAATTGTTATAAAATTGAAAATGTGATGTCCTGTAATATAATAATTGTTGAAAAGTAATGATGAGAAGATAGAAATGAAAATGAATTCGAAATTCATTTATTCATGATTAGATATAATCTATAAAATAATTACTAGAATAAATGTTTGATCATTTTTAGAAAAATTTTCATTTGCAAAAGAAAAGTTTTTTTTCGTTGTTAAATTATTACTTTTTTAAATTTGAAAGTTTTTCAAATTTAAAAAATTTTTCATAAGGAATGCGTTTCGCTTCAAATTTTGCGATAAATCAAAATGAAATTTCTTATTTTTTTCGAACCTTTTTCCATTTTCAAATTTATTTTCAGAAAATGGTCACTGCTACACTAAATTGTAAATAGTGAATAATTTTTGAAAAAAGACATCGAAAGGCAGAAAGAAAAACAGGGATAAAGAACGGGGAGAGAGAAGGAGAGGGAGAGAGAGAGAGAGAGAGGGAAATTTCTTTCATTGAATTGTGATCCGAATAACGACGAGATGATCTCAGCACTTTCACACGGATACAACAAAATGTTTCCCTCAAAGTAATATCATTTATATTTTATATTTCTTCTTCCTTTCCCAATTTATGCCACTATTCTTTGATAGTTAGGAAATTATAATTATTCAATTTTTTTTTTCCTCCAAACTGTACAGTTTACATATATTGAAGTATGTAAAATGAAGAAATTGATTAGTTTCTATCAAATTTGCTTGTATAAAATGAGCTAACCAGTTATTGATTTTAGCAGTTTACTAAACTAATTCATATAAAATATGTAGAAATATAAGTTTTATCGATCAATCCATAATCTCCATTTATGCTTTCCTTTTTTTTTCACATTTGCCATATTAAAATTAAATTTGAAAAAGATAGTAGTAGTGCACACTTATAATAATAATAATTAGTAAGAATGCAAAATAGGATAGAATTAGTTCGAATTTTCCTATGCTAGTCTTTTTTGTTTGCTTTCTGTATGGGAAATATTAACTTTCTAAGCCTATGAATGATTTAGCTAAAAGTAGGCTTAAATTTTTTCAGTCGTAAAATGTCTTCCACTTTCTTCTAGTCATAGAAAAATTTTTTTCTAATATAGCAAAAAAAGTTAAACTTAAACTTTTATGTAATACTTTTCAGAGTAGATCACAATGATCAGTAAGGATACATATGACGATACGCATCACAGTGATTCAGTCAAATCCGTTACCTGTAGGTTTTTATTTTTCAAACATTAAAACTTATCATTTAATTAATTTGAACATTCACTACATGTGTTTTTTTGCAAAAACAAAAAAAAAAGATTTGATAAAATTTCACAATTCGAATAATATTTATGAAAAGAAAAAAAAAAGTTTTGCAATAGTAAATGAAGTAATTATTTGGTAGTAAAAAAAAATATTCTTATTTTATATAACTAACTTTTTCAATCTTCTAATAGAAAAATTTAGATTATCAATGATGATATTATATTCTGTTTGCTAAAATTTGAACAATTATTTTATACTTTACTACGATTTATACTATCCTAATTTTTATTTATTTCTAATTTTTGTTTAAAACGAAATAATTTAAAAATTTAATCATTGAAGCAACAATTTTAATTGATAAAAGTCAGTGAATTCAAAAATATTATCATTTTATGCAAGTATTATTTCAATAATTATTTACAGTACATTTATCACCCCCATCTACGACACTTCCCAAATCAAACCCTCCAATTAATGATGGATCATCGTTGACATTTGATGGACCAACGATTAAGCTTCCATCAGGTTTGTTGCATTCATTTTCTTTTGAAATAATAACTTCTTATGTACGAAAGAGCGAGACAAAAACTGATAGTCGGAATACGACAACACATTTTATAATAATACAGCTATCAGCAAGAATGCAAATAATATACGAGGAAAGTATTTATGCAAATTTATGAAAATGTCTATTGACCAATTTGTTGTCTGTTGCAGAAGAAACTTTCTTTCTTGTCATTGCATTGTATTGTAAGTGATAATGCTTTATTGTGATAATACTTTATGGTGAAAATATTTTATTTAGGTGATAAGACGACGATTATCTGTGAGTCAGCAGTTATTGGTGACGCTAGTAAGAAACCAACGCTGAAAGTAAACTTTTGGTCAATGCTTAGTATCCATGAAAATTTCTTTACTGTTAAAATTTCTGATTTGAACCTTTTTTATCATTTAAAGAAACTTATCACATACTGACTGATTAAAAGATGAAAAATTTTATCTGTTAATGATTATGGATCGCTTAAACAATCGTTCTTGTGAATTATTCAATTTTAAATTTAATTTCAGAAATACAGATTGCAATGAGATGTTTATTCTTTTCTTCTCATTCATATTATCAAAACATTTGAGAAAATCAAAGTATCTCATCCGATTTGAATTGTACTTTTTAATTAAATCGAAGAATTAAAAAAGAAAAAAGCGGAAGTACTTTATGTTGAGTTATTTTATACGACCCCTTTGTTATTCTTTTTTTTTTCTCACTAACTTCAACACGCTCATAAATCACTCGTCCCTTTCATCAGTATACTTTTTTCCTGTTCTGTGAAGTAGTGCTCAAAAATAATAGATGTGCAAGTAATTAAAAGTTACAATCGGTCATATTTCATTGGTCATTGGCTATTACTGCTTAATTTTTAATCGAAATTCATAATTTCTTCCCTCCAACATAAATGTAATTTGGTAAGAAATTTTTGGAAATAATCAATGAAGAGCTTATAATTCATATAACATTTTGTGAAGTTAGTTGTATCGCGGAATATTTAAAAGCAGCAAAGAAAATGAAGTTTCGAAATTTCATCCAAATTTATAATTTCTTGATACAAAATTTTTCTGCTAAATCTTCATACTGTATGCTAATTTTTCCTTCTGAATCCTCATGCTTTACACGAGGTTTTTCTTCTGAATCTTCCGGTTGCATTGTACTTCACATTCATCTTGTCTGTATAATTTTTTACTCTCATATGTGTCACTTCAATGATCTCATTTTATCTGATTTTGTTTCAATTTATTTTTATTTATGTTTTTTTATACCTAACAGTGAATTCATTTGTTAGATGCAACGATGAGTTAAGTCATTTCTACCACGAATTATAATACTAAACTAAAAAGTGACTGTATTCAGTCATTTCTTATCGAAAGATAATTCTGTAATAATTTCAACTACAGCTATGCCACCTTAATATAGATATAGGTATCATTTCAGTGCATTGAATAATGCATGTATTGAAAAATATTAAATGAAGGAAGAGGGATTTAAAGCAAGAAAGTTACAGTTTGCGCCAGTAATCTGTGAACAAGGTCCAAGTGCACCAGCATCACCTACAAGTCCCGATGGATCACGCTTACGACGTCCTCGTCCATTAAATGCAGATGCCATGGAACGCATTAGCGTGGTGAGACTAATTAATTTTTTTTAATTTGAAATATTCTTTTTTGCTATAAAGTTTCAATGACTAAAAAGAGATGGTTTTGCAACCTGTAAAATGGTTCTTCATTCTTATTATTAGCATATCATTTAAAGGCAAAGAAAAATAGACAGAAGTCATAGCAAAAGGATAAAAAAATCACGAGCATGGTTATGATCCTCAAATATTAAATTTTAATTTCAAATTGATAAATTAATGAAACAAAAATAAATCTTTGTAGTTGACGACGAATTATTTGGCAGCGATGAACCTGAATAAATTATCACCACTTAGTCCATATGCTACAAGCGATTTAGGATCCAGTCCTCGAAGTTCGATAAGTTTAGCACCAAGCAGTTTAAGTCCATGTTGGACTAGTTTCAGGGACAGCAAAAAGTCAAGGTTTTTTTATTTTCTTCCATTTTTTTTTGCATTTTATTCGTTGCATTATAATGAAGGCAAACATAGAGAATTATATTAGATAATTGATTACATTTATTATAAACGAATGTCTATATTCTTTAGAAATCTCATTCACTATTCTATAAACCTTTAACCTGCTGCTTATGTTTGTAATATATTATATTTCATATTTACAGATGTAAGTTTCCGTAACATAAATGATATGACTTTAAAGAACTATATTTTGTTGTCTGATATACATTAAAATTGAATTTAATATATAATCGGAAGTATATTAGTGCACATCTCGAGGGATGATGAGAGTGAGATTGAGCTATGAATTTGTTAATTAAATAATTGAAGAAGAGGAAATATTTACCTATGGAAATTTTTGAACCAAAATAATTTGAATCTGAAAATTTATCATAGCAAAAGGTGAAATTTCAGCCTTGAAGGTGATGGGGATTCAGATATTTGCTCGAAAGATCTGCTTTCACCCTGCATGTATTCTCCAGCACCGTTCAGTCCCTTTAGTGATTGTACGGAACCACCAGAAACCCCGCTCTCTGCGTGTGGTGCAGGTGCATCGCCTGCTCTTTCACCATTACTCTCAATGCAATCCTTGCACTTCAAGTAATTCATTCATAAGGTTTTTGATTTCAATTTCGGTTACTGCCCACTGAAAAGTGAAATCATTCATTATAATAATTGCTGCATATAATTAACTAAGCAATGTGTTGGCAAAATTTCTGTAAACAGTAAACTTTTAGTTTCGACACAATTCGAAGTTCCAGTTCACTCTCAGGTCGTGTTGATGTTAGCCATCATCTTCTGGTACCTGAATCAAACCTAGATTTACAATCTAGGTTCGTTTTTCTTTCTTCCTTTTCATCCCAGATAATTAATAATGCTTTGCTGCAAAGGTGGGACTATCGAGTAATTGTTACGAAAATTGAGCTACACCAATGGAAATTTCATTTAAATTTTAATATGATATTGAAATTTACGAAATTGAAGAATTTTTTACAAAAGCATTGAACATAGCATTTCAGAGAAAGAAGTCGGTCGGATGGTGAAGTGACATGGAACGGAAACACTGAAGAAATGGACACATCCGTTGGACAGTCTACCATATCGGTAACAGTGACCGATATTCATAAATCCTCAGAGTTAATCTTATTGGGAAAAAAATAAGAAATGATCTTTGGAGTTAATCCGATTAACTTTCATTTTGAATCATCCATACATTTTCTTTCATCTTTTCAATATTTTATCATAAGCAACATTGAAATTTTTAAGGAATTACGTGAAAATTTTTAGATTCCCACAATATCACGTCGTTTATCGTCCACGTCAGGTCAATACAAAAAACGATTACTACAAAAGTATGAGAAGGAGCAAGAAGATAAAAAGGTTCAGAAACGTCAACCAAATCAATGTATTTCTTTCATCGATACTCTTTGTCCAACTGATTCAGAGACAGCGGTTAATTTCAAACAGGTTTGTTAGCAAAATTTGCTTTCGTGGAAGAGAGAAGAAGGTAAGAAAGAGCAGGAGAAAAAAATTACTGGTATTTTCTTAATTGTACTATCCAGAAGTTTAGTGTATGCTATTGATTTGCTAGCTTAGTATCATCAGTCATAAACTTACAAATCATTTTTATTTTATTTAAGAATCCTGAAATTTCTTGAATCCAGAGAAACAAAATAGTGAAATATGAATTTGGTTGGAAATTTTTTGTAATGATTATTTTTTGGTGAAAAATTCGATACCTCTACTTCTATTATAGCCAATTGAAATATCAAATAGTTTGATAAAAATTTAGGAATCAAAAGAGTCAGAAAAAAAGAATGCTACATGTTTGTTGAATAAAGAGGAGACAGTTGATGATAACTTATCGAAATCGACAGTTGAGCCTCAACCAAAACAAGTAAATTATATCTGTCATGTGTTCTTTCAAAGTAACACGAACATGTTACCTTAATCTTCTATCATAAAAGCTCATAAAAACTAGTGAAATAAGAATGGATTATTTTAAAAAAAAGAAAATGAATAAAAATTCAAAAATTTTAATGAATATTTATCATTTATAATTTTTGCTATTCATCTAAACGTCGCATTTTTATGCTGTGCATTTCATTATATATAATAATTGTATTTTAATTATATGATTTTGTTTCATTTCATATTTTAACAATTTGACGTAACGATTTTGTTTAATATCATGTCAGAAATTTGACATGATATTGAAGCGCTTCAGATGCTTAAAAGAGTCCATATAAGATAAGTAAATTATTCTATTAAGAGAAATTAAAAGTGAACTTTATCGATGGATATTGTAGTCATTGTTACCATCCAATGAGCCATTTGGAAGTCAACAGCAATTTAATATTTGGATGCAACATCAACTTCTCACTTGGCATAATCATTTATATCAAAATTCAAATGCATTGTCATCACTTCACAATCCTGCCATAATTGGTGTAAGTTAATTTTTTTATTACTCATCATCTAAGTGATTTCACTTTAGCTTACTGCAATTATCATTACTATTAGATTATTTAATTTATAAAATAACGACTTTTCATATTGCATTGATAACTGAAGTACTTGCAAGTCTAAATCCATGCTCTATCCAGTGCTATAAATTTATGATTTTGTAACTCATTGATAGCATAGAGATGACAATGATAATTTTAATTTATTTTAGATGGGAGGAGCATGCCTGCTAACACAAGCTAAAGATCATATATCTCGTGGAATGACACGAAACACTAATTCACCTGAAATGGAAAGCAATTTCGGACCAATCAGAGTTAGTTATTTTTTCTTTAAAAAGTTTGAAAAGAAAAAGGAACAATTATTAAATTATGATAAAGATAATATGTTTGGTGAGAATAGCAAACAAATCCTATGTGATAGATTGATATCATGGGCATGTTGAAATTGAACATATTATTCAGCACTGACTGCTTTTTTTTATCAATATTTTATGATCAGTGCTAGAGTAAGCGTTGATTTCAGGCTGGAACATTTTGGCGAAGAAGTCGTTCAGAATCAGATGTCACTTTTGGAAACTACGTATGTCAGCATTGTGGACAAGTATGTTGCTTTTCAAATATTTGCCATATCAGTGGATCTATCAAACAAAAAAATTTACTAATCTATAATTGAAAACGTCAACTTTTCCAAATGTCCTTTCATTTTCTATCTAGGTCTATAATGGGCAGAAAAAGAGAAACTAATCAATGAATCCATGATCTCGAAGAAACTAGATCTTTCCATATATTAGCAAATATTTTGAGGCATTTGGATTGCATGATAGGCTTGCGAAGCATATCGCTTCACGTCATCGTGATCGCTCAGCTTCGATTGCTGGAAAAGATGGTTCATCGAAAACCCATAAATGTACGATGTGTAACAAATCGTTTGGTAGAAGCGATATGTTAACCAGGTATACGATCTTTTGAGTGTCATGCAAAACATAGAAAAATGCTACTATTACATCCATCACGTAGAACACTTAACCTGAGCGTTGCATGCATACTTAATGTGAACGTTTTGGATGGACAATTTGAACTTAACATGAACATTATATGAACATTTATATTTTCTAGACATATGCGATTGCACACTGGCATTAAACCTTATGGATGTCAAGTTTGCGGTCAAGTATTTTCAAGGAGTGACCATTTGAGTACACATCAACGAACTCATACTGGAGAAAAGCCATATCAATGTCCTCAATGCAACTATGCTGCCGTTAGTATTTTGATTTGTGCGTAGTGATCATATCAGTCATTTTTAGACCAATTAATGAAGTATCATCAGATCTAACAAAACTTAGAATAAAATGATTTGATTTAAGAAAATTTTAAATTAAAAAAAAGAGACAATCGATGATGTCACTCTTTTTTAGAGCAGACGCGATATGATAACGCGTCATATGCGAACGCATATTCGTCCACCGGGATTGCCCGAATTCAATCCCTTAACAATAAGCCAATTGTCGTTGAGTCGCTCAAGTAGCCAGTTGCATCAATCAGACACGATAATTAGCGATACTATAGGCCTAGAACCGTTATGTCTCTCTTCTAGTAGTTTGTTACCTGTTTCGTCGCATCAGTTAATAAATCCGCTGATGATGTGTGCTGCGAATGCTGTTGCTGCAACTACTGCGGTCGCTGTAACTGCTGTTGCTGACGGTAAGTTGCGATTTGGATTGAATTTTCGACTTAAAAAGTTGTTTTAAAATTACATATTAAGATTTTTCATAGAAGTAGTTAATGCTCGTGTTGCTTGGTGATTCATTATGAAATCATTTTAAGTTTCATTTCAGACCGTCTGCCTAATAGCGGAGGACTTCCATTGTTACAAAATTTGCCGTTTGCAGCAACTGCGCCGAATTTAATCGGATCAAATTTACGAGGAAGTGCATTTACAGCTCATGGTAAGCTTGCGACATCGCTATCGGCAGCAACGACTTCATCGCAGAATTCACTGTCCAGCACTAGCAGTTCTCTTGCTTTACCTAGCAATAATTCCTTACAATCATCGCAATCGTCGCAAATAAGTCCAACTTTATGCCGACAAGCCAGTATCGGTGGCTTTTCATCCACCTGCTCAACCTGATTACTTATAGAATGGAAGTATGATATTTGCTAAACAATTCATTATATCAAACATTTAAAGCAAGAAATCTCCCAATATTTAATTTAAATTTCATTTTATCTCATTACTTTTTGAAAGCGATTGTTTGTAAACATATTTTAATAATTGACAGTACTCTTTTCCCACTTCTCACCATTTTACCGTTAAATTTCCGAACAAAAATGTTATATGTTTTCTGCATTAATTAATACCATATTTTTCTGCCTTTAGCATCTGATGCTAAGTGAACAGCTAAGAAATTGGCGTAGTTATGGAAAGGATCAAACAGTTAAGTTGAAAGTAAGAGAGATTTGAAATATTAAAGCTAAATGGATATTGATGGATGGATATTTTACAGCTATTTTAGAATGATTTATTCGACCGAGCATGATGAATATGGCGAAAAAATGTTTAACTTCTTATCAATCATAATTCAGATGATAAAAAGGTTCGCACCAGTATTTTGTGGTGATAGAGCTTTGAAAGTAAATTTTGGCATAATTTGGGGATCGGTCGGATATATCATATTGTGTTATCGCGATTGTTTTTGTCTCTTTGTGTTCTTTTTCTCCTTATTAGATATCAGGTCTCATTTTCTGTTTGTTAAAATTTCGTTTTTAAACTGGCGCATTTTTATGGGGAAAAATGAAAATATCTTGTTCATTGAGAAACAAAAATATCAAAAAAAGAAATCCATTTTAAAATGGAAATTGATAGAAGGCAAAATTAAAAAAAAAGAGAAGGCGAATTAGCATTATTTGGATTATTAGAGATTTCTGATTAATACAGTATGTTTTCGGATTATCTTAAAATCGAAATTTACTTAAAACTTATTGATAATTTCGAATTTGAGAGCTTTAAAGATGTTTGTTAAGCAATTAGACTTATGTTTGAATTTGATTTTTAACTTTGTCAAAAGTATACCCAGTAATTTTGTATCGAGACTGTACTCGGTGATTTTGTATTGAGATTATACTCAATGACTTCGTACCTGGACTGTATCCGGTGATCACTCATTCCAATTAATCTCACATCGATCTTTGCTGTTATATAATTTGAGAAGTATCAATATCACAGTGCAATGCACGGCCAAATAAACTACCAATAAGTAAAAAATTTTTGTGAAATAGAACTGCGGAAGAGCCTGATATTGTTGCTCCATCATTTGCATACGGTTCTGTTATCACCCAACTGCTATCATTTTCCTGATATATAATTATTAACTTGAAACAGTTAATTATTTACAATATAATTAATTATCAGTGACATGGAAATGAATTCGTTCTTATTTATAGCTGTAGAAAGGAGATGAAATGATTCAGACCTGTAAACGTATACGAAGTATTTGAGATGGTGATCGTTGATCTTTATTTACCGGATCTTGTATATGTTGATGAGCTTTGTATAATACCGGATGAAGTGCTACCCAAATATTTCCAGTATCAGCTTCAATGAATAGTTTATTCGGTGATGAAAGGAGTGAAATTTCGGTTGCAAATATCACTGACATATCTTGTCGCAAATGATATATTCGTATGAACTGAATGAAAAGTAGTTGTCAGTGAAGGGGGCTATTAATTAAGCTAAAATTGATTTATTTTTAATGGATAAAATTGAGTATTGAATTTTGAAACGGTTTGAAATTGATTTTTATTTTCATCAACCGTTTCATTACGTAATATTCTTATCATGTATCATTGTTATCCTGTTAATTTCTTTTTTATGTATCAATAAATAGTTGTTGATGTATGGATAAATTCAATCATCAGGAAAAATTTATCCGACTTACTTCATTAATCGTACTGGCAACGTACAATCGATTTTGCTGCTTATTTATAGCAATTCCATTTGGTGTTGGAAAATATCTGATGAAAGTATTTTAATAGAAATATAAAACAAATATAAATTTTATAAATAGAAAGAAGTAATTTGACAAAAATTGACAACTTGAAAGTGTTAATTTGTCACATTCTAACATTGATTTAAAGGAAGAGAATAATATCGTTTAATTCGTTGAAATCAAATTTAAAAAAAAAAAAAAAACGGAAGGGAACTTTTCGAGGTAATTTCCCTGTCGACCGTCATAATAAACAATGGAACCAAAGGATGTTTGCATAGCAAATTCTATAATTTGCATCCAACGTTTTCGGCAATAAGCATAATTGGTAACAATAAATCGATCAGCACCAACGACGGTTATATCTGCCAAGCTAAATTTAAAATTTATTTACTAGGAATTAAAGAGGACCAGAAAAAGATTGGATGAGATTAAAATTACTAAGAAGAATGAAGTTTTGGCGTTTGCTGATTAATTTCATAATAATTTATTGCTTAGACTTTTTTTGAACGGAATTCTTACAAAAAATAAAACTGAAAATGAAAATGAAAATGAAAATGAATGTGTTTGTTAGCAAAAAATAATTGTAATTCATGAAATGTTGAAATTTTTGATGCACGAATAGAAGTAAAATTTTATGAATAGGAAATTTAGGAGAAATTTAATAAAGACAGAATCTCGGGGAAACATTTTTGAAATATAGCTTACTTTCGAAATTTGTCACTATTGATCGTTTTTCGATGAATAAGAAGTAAATGACTCTGATCAAGTTGGAAAACTTCAATCGTATCATTATTTTGATAAGAATTAGTGATGTAAACAGTTACTCGGCCTCGACTTACGTATGTATCAATTCCATATGGAATAAAATATTGCTGCAAAAATTTACAATTTTTTTTTCGTTAATATTTCAAATTTGATTTTAATGACAAATTAATTTCATTACTCCTTTAATGAATAAAATAAAATAAAAATCATATCATATTTTTTTTTAAAAAACTTTCGTTTAAAAATTATTTTAGAAATTCTTCATAAAAAATTCTAACTAATAAAGAGTAAAATTAGCATGTATAATGAACTTATTGGTAAAATTTTAAATTTTTTTAACGACGATTTCACCACTTAAACTAATTTTTGAGAAAAGATATAAACCTTGAACTTCTTTTAATTCTCAGTATATTCCAAATTAATTGTTCCATTCGCTTTGAAGCTAACGATAGAATTGAGAGTAATTTAAGCAAACTTTAATTTCTTAATTTTATTGTTAAACTTTGATAACCTCTATGAGAGTCAATTTTCAAAACAAAAGTGCTGTGTTTATTTATTAAAAATTAAAATTTCAACATACCGAATTAAATCCTTTAATTTTCAATTTCTTCGCTTTATAGTTCCTATTATCTGCAAAATTATACAGAAATACTGCACCGATAATATTGCTAACTTCTCGACTTTTCGCATATCCGCTTGTTATCAGTGCAATATTTAATTCCGGGATCAGTACCATACCAGCAGAACCACTCGCTGAATTATTCGGTATTCAAATTATCAATTTAAAACTATTAATCCTTAAAAGTTTCAATTCAAACCATTTAATATAATCCTTAAAATAGTTTCAGTTTTCTTCTTTCCAGTTTTTACTAAAAGATATTTACAAATAATGGATGTTTTAATGTGAAATCAAAATTTAATTCAGAAAAAAAAATGAATGGAGGGGTATAATAAATACAAAATTAATTAATACCGATTGTTCCAGTGGATGTATGAATAAATCGACATGAGCCAGGTGTATGATTGTAAACACGTTTATTAATATCCAACAACAAACTAAACTAACAAATTAATTATAACGATCAATCGTTGAGTATTTTAATTTAAAAAATCAAAATTAAATTTATACGATTATTTGCTAACATATTGAATGTTTGTTTTGTTTTTTTTGTTGTTGCTATGAAAGTTTTCACATTATTATTATATATTTAAATTAAAATTAAACGAAAATTATAGAAAAAACATACAAGAATCGGATTACTAAACTACAACTTAATCCAATGAATAGCAATGTTATTATTGGAGCAGCCATTTGAAAAACAAATTTCTCTTCCCGAACAAATTGATCATTTCCATTTCATGGTAATTTACGCTCATTTCATTATAACATTTCATTATTTCATTTCATCACTTTAATAATTTATTCGATGATATTTGTAATATCAAACATATTTCTAAATTATTTTTATTAAACAATTCAAAATGTGAATTTTTGAAAGAAAGAGTGAAAAAAATAGCCAAGAAAAATCAGTAAATTATAATCGATTACATATAGTATTACATTTTTCTTTTTCCTATGATTGTGGAAAAAAAAAATTTTTCATTTCTGGAAAATATTTAATAGAAGGAAAAAAATGAGAAATGAACTGAAACGAAAAATAAATCAGAAAAATTAGCATAAAGACTAATTAAAAAAAAAAAAAAAAGTGGCTAATAATAAAATTTGAATGAGACTGGAAGGTTATATTTGAGAGATTTCATCGTTATGGATGGACGGATTGCTTCTATTTCTTCATTTCAAACCAACCAACCACACTGATCGATTTTCACTTTCCACACAACTCCGAGCATATCTATCACTCATCATCATTTGTTATTTTTTCATTTCGTTTTTTATTCGATATACTTACTATTTTCATCTCTGATTATATGAATTCTCGAATTTCGGATGTATTTGTATGAGATGAATGGATAGTAATTAGTGCTATCAATTAATTAGTAATATTTCACGCTTTCTTAATATCACTTATTTTCTATATGCATAACTTATCATTGCCATTTGTAATCAGTGCTTTAGAAAAAAAAGTAGCTTAATCTGAAACAATATTTCAGATCTAATAGTTTGATAATGAAATGAAAAGAATCGAAAAAAATATCTCGATTGATAAAATCGCAAAACAAAGGAAAATTAATAATTATAAAAGTTGCGCATTATACTATAAAATACTATAAAAACAACAAATAAGTTCGAAAATAAAATTCAATTTTCCAAAAATTCCTATACTAGCAATTTTGAACACATTTATTTAATAGCATAAAATGCTTCTTAATGTTTTTTTTTTCTCTGGCGCAGTTTATTGCGATGAATATATTTATCGGAATGTCATATGATGTAATCGTTATGCTATGTTTTATGTAAGCAACAGCAAAAAAAAAAATTGATTTAATTCATTTACACAGTAATACGTTTACAACATTTATTAAATTTATCCCTGCTTTTTTCATTAATTAATTAATCATTCATTAATTATTCATCTTCATCTTCACCAAACCACATATATTTGTCCAGAATGCATACATTACCTTTGCCCCTTGTTAGCATTAATGATGACCCTGAAAATTCTTTAATAATTAGCGTATAATTTTGAATTACTGTTCCTTTGTGCCTTTTTTTAAGAAGAAAAAAATTTATTTACAAATTATAATATTTATTATTTATTAAAAATAGCGATGAATATTTTCAGATATCATTCTTTTTTCTGCAAGAAAATTTCTTCAATTTGAAATGTTTTCCTTGAAATTTTATTTTCTCTTCTTTCCCTACAATTTTAACACATTAAAAAAAAAATCATCCAAATCATTCAACGTAAACCTTTGAATGCTACTTTGAAGACGTTATTGCATTTTCGTAACAATCGGCCAATAGCTTGATCAATTCGATTTTGTGAAATTCCCGATAGTTTCAATTTCACACTACACATTGTTTCACTGAAAATGAAACAAAAAAATGGAGGAAAAGTTGAACTTCAGCCAAACAGTTTTATTTAAAAAAAATAATTTATGCTATTATTTCTTTAAATATTTTCCCAAAAAGAGAAAACAAAAGAATGAACAAGAATAAATTAATCGAAATGTCTGTCGAATAATAATTTCAATTATTTTCAATTCTTTTATTGCTTATATTTGATGAAAAAAAAAATTGAAATGTAGAAACCGTGCTATTTCAAGCCAATAACTCATAATTCTTGCTGCTTGGACAGCATTGTTCTCACTGATATGTATGATCCGTAAAACACCGCCAGGCGGCATTTGTTGTAATACTTGAATGACGCATTCACGCTCCATCAAACTGTCCAAATCAAACGATGCCGTACACTGCAATCATCAAATTCAAAATTTCAAATCTTTTCCTCACCCTAAATTATCTCGCAAAATTTTCATCATAATCAGCAACACTGTAATGTGGCTATACCGGCTTTAAAAAAAATGAAAAAAATAAAAAAAATAAAAAAGTAAGAAATTATTGATTTAACAAACGATACAAAAACTATCATACCTGTAGCAAGAGTGTTTCAAGCCTTTTCAATGCCTTATCAATATCATTTTGTAAATATGAATGAAATTTTATATATGGACAAATTATTGCTAAATTTTGAATCGGTGTATTGGCTAATATTTTGGATAGGATCGATGATGAAAGATATTCAATACCGCCAAGTTCAAGTGTCCTAAAAGTAATGAATAAGTACTTATTGTAACTTTTCACATATTATCAAATTTTACAAAATTTTGTAATTGTGAGCTTTTTTTATTATCGTTATAAAATATATTATCAAAACTATCATTTCTGTTTCAATCGATGATGAAACATTTATAACGAACGTAAGATTCTTTCCATCTAATGCTTCGAGCAGATACATATGTGAGAAGCTGTCCAGATGGCATGTTTGATATTGAAATTGGCGCAATTGTTGACATTGCTTAATGGCAGCCCAAAATTCTTCACAATACAAACCAAAATCCATGGAAATATGACGAAAACATAATTCGTGAAGTGATGTTGAAAAATGATTCACAACTTTTGATATCTGAAATTTTATTGCAATTCTTCCTATATCAAAAATAAGAAAAAAAAGGAAAAATTTTCAGAAAGATTAAATGGAAAGATTTAAAAAAGCTAAAAAAAGAAAAATAAGGAAGATTGATGGAAAATTTAAAAATTTTTAATTATACAACCAACCACTTCACAATCATCATCATCACTACCAACAATTGTCATCTTATCCATTTTCAACTGTCGCCATCGTCCATTCTCGACTAAATCTGTTCTTGAAACTGCTTTCAGAAGTGCACTACACAATTCACCATTTATTGGTGTCTCTAACCAAAGATGTTCGATGTAGTCGACACGTTTTGCTACAAAATTATCACCATTTAAATTTCACTGAGAACAATACCAAATTTCATAATGACTTGACAACTTAAATCAAGAAATGATATAAAGCATATGTTTAATTAAACATATGCTTTTAAATTTTCATTAAATTAAGAAGATATTTTTATTGCAGGGATCGATCAAAAATAACAAGTATTATCGAATTTTATAGTTTCCATTAATCTTCTCCAAACAATTCATTTGACTTCCATATTTTTCTTAGCCCTAATCCATTTATATCTTATCAAAAGTTATACCAATTCGCTGTACAAGTAATTCAGCCTGCCAATCTTTTATGATTATTACATCATTCGTGACTGTTTCTGTTGCAAAAGTATATTCAGGCACCAAAAGTTGTATGATAAGATCAGAGTGATCAGTCCAAATTTCGATATTATCCAATGATACTCCTTGCAATTTGATAGGTGGCAAACTTATCAAACTTTGATGAAATATTTCTTCCGTTAAACGACATACCTATAAATGCATAATTTTTCGCTTAATGAAATTAATTCCATGTATTATCCTACTATTTTTGATAAAATTAATAACTGTAACTGCGATTATACTTAACAAATTTTATCAAATAATCATAGCTGTGATTATATTTAGCAAATCTTATTGTTAAAAAATTCTTTTCACAACATTTAAATATAAAAATGAGAAGCTTAAGTGAAAGCACGATGATTTTGGGTAGAAAAAGGCGACGATTGCTATCAGAAGATTATTCATCTGCTTAGATTTATCACGCAAATGTAGTGGATTTTGAAGTTAATTGAAGATGAGTAATTAACTGACTAATTATTTCATGCTCATCTAGCTTAAAATTGATGCTGGAACTATTGGTAGGATAGTTCTTTAAATTAACCATCAAAGTTAACATTTATCTTTTCGATATTATTTAATTTTTCATTCATTTTAAAACGAATAAATTCATACATCGTCAAGTAGTATTGTAGTTAAAAATTAAATTATTGAATTAACTTACTCTTCGAAGACGTATGCGATCATAAATGTCAAGATATGGAAAAACTTGTAATAACACCGGTGCCAATAATCGATGAACAGAATCTGAGCTTTTATCAGAATCTGATATTATTTTCTGGCTATTTTCGATAGTTTCAATACTTAGTGTTAATTCCATATTGCAAGATTTATTAGTTGTTAATTTCGATATCAATCGTTTATGAAAGATACGTTTTGCATGAATCCAAATTGAGCGTCGTTGATAATTATTTCGTTTTAATTTATTAGGTAATTTTTTATAGGTTGATGAGGTTGCAACTTGTTCAGCTTGATCAACCGTTGGTGCAGATGAACGAAATGAAGAGATGATATCCATTAAAATTGTCTATAATTTAAAAATTCATCACAAACATTTTGTTGATTGAATTAGCGAGAAGCAAAGAAATAAACATTTTACAATTTTTTCCTCAATTCAACTCATAATTTTCTCATGTTTAATTCATATTTTTAAATTTAATTCAATTTACTGATAAAGTTTAGGTCACAATCAATGATTATTCATTAATTCAAATAAAAATTCTTATATTATTGTTTTCACAAGGCGGTACAAAACTTTTCATCTGTGTCTTTTTTTGCTATTACTCCTACACAAACAGTGGAACGGTGGCCATCATGGGAATTTTCAAGCACTGACTTGTTGATGACACTTGGCAGGTTTTCTTCCAAGTACTTAAATAAATGATACTACTCATTAGTTGACCTCTTTCAGATTAATGAAGTGGTCTATGTTAGCGATGTGAAAGATATGAATGAGCAAAAAATAGATATCAAATGATAAAAATTAGAGAATTGAAATTTCCCGCGAGCTGAATGATAATTGGTGATGATGGAAAAGGATGAAGTGAACTATTTTTACGTATTCCTTAGCTAATCAGATTTTATTAGCATTTGGATAATGACGAGAAAAATTCTTTATGGTCAGATAAGGCATGTATCGATGGGAAGAAAT